GCGCAATAAAATATATTGTAATGATAAAGCCCATAACGTATTAGCGGCTCGTCACATGCTAATTATTCCATTATATTAATTATTTTCAAATACAGGAGGTAATGTTACCGTCTCTTGTAGGTGTTTAAAAATAAATTGCCATGCATGCGAGAACAAGGCGATGAATGAAATTATGTTTCCTCGGTAGAAATACACCGAGTATTTCTTGATTATTATATTTACTCTATGAATGTTTCATTATTTCGTTCCCACATTTTCTCACATTTTCATCGTTCGCCAAGTTTTCTTTCACTCACAGGCCACACTTGCACTTATCCCCACATATATACGAATGCTAAACTAAGAGTGCCAAACTAAGAGGAAATGCAATTTATACTTTGCCGAGAATGTTTATCTCGCGATGTCGCGCGACGGCTTGAATTTCTTATGTCGAGCATGAAACAGGAGTCGACGAAATTTGTAACGGCTAGCATTAGTGGAAGGAAGACGAGCGAGTGACAGTGATACGAATAAACGGGATGGATAAAAAGTCGAAAGGGGAGATATACAATGCATCATCGCTGATCAGTTTGCTCTCTTGAAAGTGGAATACGCGCCCTGAAGATATAATTCGACAAAGAAAGGTGAGGTGGACAGCATTTTGTTATCGGAGCGATAAATTACGTGCGCCGACGTGACCGTGTGGCACTTACGCGACTTCTCCATGCGTGCGACTACGTTGACAGTATCAATTTTTCGAACGAAGCGAGAGAGATTCATGCATTTGTCCTGGGGAAGAAAAAATTCACCAGCCATGCATGACACCTGTGAGTGATTTATGTATTATCCGCCAGTGTTTTGCTTGCGGCTTGTTCCCCGTTAAAGCTAGTCGGCGCTCGGACTTGAGAAATTATGCATAGAAAAGTATACTTTTTACCCCCATACTTTTGGTCTCTATAACAACAAAATTAATAATACTCAAACCTTCATATTGAAATCCGCTCCGCCCCCCTTCCCATCAGCGCCCATCAAGACCCCAATAAGACGCCATTAAGACCCCATTAAATATCCCGGGGCTCAAAAATCTTTATATACCTCACATTATTTATAATACCCTCCTCGTTTTCGGCTAATTAATCAAACAATTTCTCAGCTTATGCATCGTAATAACAAGTATTTACATTGTTTATTGAATTCGTTGCCGTATGGGAATGATTTCACGCGACAAGCACTATGATGAATCAATTGGTTAAATTTCCTTAGATCCACTCTTATCAATTACTTCATTCTTATAAACCGATGGACTATTGATTTTAAATAGGGAAATAATGAAACATTAAATTACAGAATTTTATGCTCCTTAGAGATTTTGTAGCTACGATCAATCTCTACGATGGCCTCGTTTCACAATTTTTTCAAATAAATATTTTCGAAAATTATGACAACTGACAGAAATAATTGATAAAGCAGGTAAACTAGATTTTAGCAATTTTGTAACAAAGATGAAAGGGCCACGTGATTTCTTATACATACAAAACATTTTCTATTTTTAAATTTAAGGTGCAATGTTTTTTGTCCCTGGCACTAGATATCGAATCTCGCAAATCACATTTCGATTAACGTTGACACCGCACATGTAGCGCTCACCATCTATCTGTAATCCAATATGATCGATGCCACTATATAGACAGAGGCTGCCTGCTTTTTCTCTGTTGTTGTGCTATTTTCAAATCAATCGAGCAAGAATTCGTCACGATCGAGCAGCCGCTAATGAATCGCTATTGTTCCATGGATTTATGAGGCCGTGGAAAAGACTCTCGCGAGATAGCTAATGGGGCGAAGCGAAAATCGTCGATTCGAGACCCGACTCTACGGGCACGTATAAGTACAATTTTAATCGCAAATAGTATGTTAAGGTGGTGGATTTTGACAATGTCGGCCACACACCTATGATTGCGGTGGATGGGGCGTGATGGGAAGGGGAGGGGGAAGGGGATCTAGCCAATTGGCTCTCGAGCATACGTTAACGCTTGTTCCATACACTATATATGTCGAGATGTATCGATATTTCGATTGAACTTCTGACGGCACATTTTCCGTATTTACATGAAAATCCGGATTCAAGTTTTATAGTGAAAATTAGAACACGAAAACAAACATCAGCGATATTGTAAATTTTTTTTTTTTTTTTTGTTTTTAATGGAATTTCGTTTTGGTATGTGCGAACGCATTATAGGAATGATTTAAACATCACTCGGATTTCCAGTGTTGAAAAGAGAAAAAAATTAACATTATGTTTTATAAAATCAATCTATCGATCAATTGTATTTCAATTAAGTTCCTCTATTTTTAAAAGTCCATCGAATATCTCATGTACATATTACTTTTGCACACTTTAGACAATTTATCGAATATTGGGATAAGAAAAATTTGCATTGCGATTTTATCTAATCAGAAATATTCGGGCAAATTATTATTGAAAAATCAATAAGGCATGAAAAATATTTTTATTCTTTGGTGAGAAAATTTTCACAAACGATCACGTTTACGTACAATTGATTAATGTGTGACTTTCCATTTGCCACTTTTCTTATACCATTACATTCGCTAATTTTAGCATAATTTATATTTTTACCTTTTACCTCTTTCTTATATTATTTATATCATCTATATTCTCTGGCGCATGAAGAGCCGCGTTTTCCAATACAGCAATATATCAGACATTTTACTGGCACTTTCTCTTTCTTTCTTTCACGAAACCCCATTCAACATATCCATCCAGCATAGGTACGTGTCTGACGCGTCAGAGCACTCGTGCATTTCAAATCGTTGTCGCGTCGTTCGTTTTGCGTTCTTTTCACCTCGCACTACTCTCTCTCTCTCTCTCTCTCTCTCTCTCTCTTTATCTCTATATTTTCATTCGAAAAATAAAAACACGATTAGTGAGCTGTTAACTCGTTGCCTTCTCCCCTCCTTCGTCACTTCATTGTTCTAATTCAACATACGCGTAAAAAGAAATTAAATTAGTCTTGTCAGTAAGATAGAGTAAATTTGATGTTTCATAGTTTAGAAAGAAAAAAAAGTACAAATTTCTGAGTTTGTTAATCGTTCGTTTAAGAGATTTAATATATATAAATAAATGTTATATTATATAAAATAAGGGGTAATAATAATGTATGTGCTCTTGGAATTATTATGGATAAGTAATTATTGTATTAATTAATCGTAATTTGAAAAAATTACAAATTTCATATTTAATTTGATTTGATTATATCAATTGATTAAATAAAATTCAGATAATATCTTATTGATATATGCTTAATAAAATATATTCTTTATATATAAATATTAAAAAATATTTTTCTTACACACATATATATATATATATATATATATATATATATATTATAACAACAAGTAAATTATGACAATAACAAGTAAAAACCTAATTATAATGTTTGTTTTTCAATATCTGTTATGGCAAGATATTTAAGAATTTTATTTATATGCAATATACTTACTTTTATATGCTTGTTACAAAACTAAATGACTGAAAATAATTAAAAGAAGAAAACAAAGAAAATGAAAAACAAAATTTTATATAATTTATTTAAATCGAGTGCATAAATAACAGTCACATGTAAATTTTACCATAACTTTTTATTCATTTACATTGAATATCATCTTATAAATTTATCAGGTATCTAACAGAGTTATATTCAAATGTGCTGTGAAAATAGCAACTGACAATAATTAGTGTTTATTAATCGCTGCCTCCTCGACGTCTTTCAATTATTAATTCGCTAAAATCGTTATAGTAATCTTCGTATAATTATACAAAAAAAAAAACGAAGACAATCAACAATCATTGATTAGATTAAAATGAGTAACCATAATAAACTCACCGATAAGCAACTGCAAATTAAATGAAAATTAAAATATAATATTTAAAAAATTGTAACATTGCGAATTCCCTCTTATCGATGATCCTCATTCACATTCGTTCTCCATATACCATATTCTTTATAATAAATTCTTTTTCAAACTAAATAAATATATATATATATATATATATATATATATATATATATACACACACACACACATATACATACATATAAATCTACTATATAAGCTTGAGAAATTCGTATAACAAGTAGATATGAGTTTTTTTTTTTTATTTTTGTAAAAAGTAAATAAAAAGTTTTTTTCAGTTTGTTAAATGAAACGTATAGAAATTATTTTTAAATTAAAATAAATTACCATCTTAATTCTTTTTTATACGAGATTTTACAACACATTATCGAGAAAACTTCTTTTGTCTGAGATACTTTATATTTTTTACCTGCATAATTTAGAAACATTACTGTTTATCCAACAACTCGTTTCAATTTTTATTGATTTAACGTTAATTACAAAATAACATCATTTATACCGCATGCTATTGGTTGCCTTAAAACAAAAACAAAATAAACAAAAACAAAAAAAAACAAAAAAAAAAACAGACCGCGAAACGCATCGATCAAGTCTCATTGCGTGTAAAGCCCAGTAGTTCTTTTGGCAGTGCGTGTTTTGTAGTATTTTCTTCTTGGCAAAGGGATAAAGAGGAAAGGATTATTACATTATCGAACGTCGATTGAAGTATACACATACATCTTTTAACAGATACATCAAGAGGGAAGCGCGCGGTTATTGTCGAGCTGCTGCTGCCGCTGCCGCTGCTGCTGCTGCTGCTGTTTTACCTTATCCACCACTACCACCAACTCCACTCACCACTACCACCATCGACTCCGCCACAAACCACCATCACCATCGCCATCGCCTCCGCCACTACCACCACCACCGTCACCATCACCACCACCATCATCATCATCATCATCATCATCATCATCATCATCATCATCATCATCATCGTCGTCATCGTCATCGTCATCATCATCATCATCGTCATTATAATCGTTATGACCATTGTTAGCGTAATCGTCGTCGTCTTTAACATCATCGTTATTAACATTGTTGTCGTCGTTGTCGTCGTGTTGTCGTTGCTGTTGTCATCGTAATCGCGAATACCATCACCAAAGCACGTAGATACACCTTACTCGAGTGTTCGTTTCTCTTCAGTTGATCTCGCTGGAGGTTAGGGTGGTGACAGCCGGGCCCCACCAATTACCGTTGAGCTCACCCATCATGGAAAGCCGGATGAGATTCCAGCCTTCGAGTTTTCTATATCAAGTGTCATTGTGGTTGGGTTTGTAACCAAGATTCTTACGTTGGAGGAACAGGTGAATCTCACGGAAGTTCGGGCGATCGACGTCGTTGCGCTGCCAACACTCGCACATCAAGTCGTACATCTCCTTCGGGCAGTTCTTCGGTAGTGGCAAAATTATCTAAGGGCATACGATTATTTATCTTTTCCTTACGTCATCGCAATATTTCTCTCATGTTCTATGATAAAAATCATGAAACTCATAGACATCCTTAATCATTGCTATAATAAATGTAGAATCTCATAAATACGGGTGCATGACTCTGTTTCTCCGCGCATACCATGGAATATGCAATAACGTTAGAATTATTATGATAATAATATATTTTTTAATTGTTCACATTATTCATCTTATTCGATAACTTTTTAGTCGAGAGATAACGTATTTAACAACGTCAATTATTTCATATATGAAAATTAGTATAAATTTTTTCTCGCGAGTGGCTTATAGAAAATCTCATACAGTAATCTCTCATATAGTAATTATGATTACGTATTATTGTATAACGTATATTGTCTTAAAAACTTAAAAACATTTAACAATAAATATAAAAATTCTCACCCTTTTCTCATACTCCTGGTAAAAATATGTTGCGTTCTCGACTATACGATGGTCCGGCAGTTCTTCAAAAGGTTGCTCGCGTGCAAATGTCAGGATCTCCCAGAACGTCACGGCAAACGCCCACACATCGCTTTTCGACGTGTAGTTCCCCTGCGAATAACGGTGAAAAATAGTCTACTCATTTTATCGAGAGTAAACGAGAAACCGGATAAATAGAGAAATAGAGACGGAAACTGGGGAGAATTTGATTTCACGATCTGACAGCATAAACCCTATTTCATAACATCATTCTCTCAGCCTTATAAAAGTATAATTTACGTAGAACATTATCCAGTCGATCTATTCAGGACATTCAATTATTATAGGCGTTTTGTTTATTAATTGTAATATTTGAATAATAACGCGTATTGTGTCTCTCATCTCCTATTGTGTGCGCACACACGCGCATTTCGTCCACGTAAATTAAAATTTGCAAATTCTCATCATTAAAACCTAAGAATTATTAACAATTTTAATTCTCAGAAAATTCATACAATTATATTTAATTCAATCAATCAATTTTTTAGATGATATTTTTTATAGTACGTATAAAAGATTAGTATTATCAGTAAGGATATGATAGTCGTTAATTTAATATCAACAGATAAAGATATTTGTAACATTGTAAGATGATTATATAAAAATTAATATAATTTGTATTTAGGATATCGTCAGTTACTTATGTAATCCCAATTTGCCTAGCATTTACGATTTTCTGTCATTGAAACAATTATAATACTTTGCAATGTTATTATAGTCTATTCATGTAATAATTTGTGCTAATATTTCTTAATACCAGATGATCTTATTCTTGCATATTTTCTATATTAGTTTTATATATTTTTATATCTAATAAGAAATTGAGAATTTTTTATATTTATTTATCGTAATTTTATATAATTATTTCAATGTTAGAAGTTTGTAGTAATTTTCAATATTTTACAATTGAGTTGTACGAGTTTATAGCAATAATTTACATCTTCTTACCGCTCATTTATTACGCGTGTACGAATTATTTTATTTTATTATTTTTCTTAACATTTTTAGTTCAACATTTTATTCGAACTACGTTTGAATTAATAATTTAAAAGTACGCTAATATGAAGAAATTCGTACGTACAGATACGTTGTAGTTTAGACATAAAAATGTTTACTAAAATAAATTAAGACATTGTGATTAATATGGTAAATATTTTCATTTAACAAGATTTTTGAACACATTTGATTGGTTAGTAATAACATAATTCATGAACTCATATTTGAGAAAAATTTGATATGCTTTAAAAGTAATAAACGTATTATAATATTATAAAGTGTTTTGACTTTTATATCTTCGAACCTATGAAACTTTAGAAATGTAATATATTTTAAAATATTTTTTGAACGTAAATAATAGTAATTAAACGAAAATTTGCATCAATTAAACAAATTAAAAAAATTTTTAAAATTCACATATGTATATTAGTTAATAAATTAATTTTTACTGATTATTAATTTTGTATTTTGAATTAAAGTACTTTCCTATTAGTTCTTATCTTGAATACAAAATTTTCCGATTACTCTGATTCGTTCAGAATTTTCAGGATATTCTTACAGTTATTTTCAAATTTAGAGAATGCATGTAGACAGACTACTACTTACAGCGAATTATTCAGATAACTTAGAACTTGAAGAGTTTATTGGCATTCCAAGCTAGAATCATCTAATATCACAGGGAGCGAAAGCATATGATCGCATTATTTTCACTTAGGAAGGATAGAGTTTCATAACTATCAATGGTAAATGTACTTAGAAAGAGTAATTGTAATATTATGATTTTTTCGCTATCATAATTATTGATTAATGGTATTATAATATATTTGTAGTAAAATGGCATTTTCGTTATAGTTAAAAAATAATTATTTAACAATAATAATGTGAGATGACTCGGTAATTACTATTATGAATATTTATAAAAGAAAATTATTTTTATAAAGAGAAGCCGACTGTAAAATAAAGATGAACTTAAAAGTAACTAATATTAACAATTTTACACAAACATTTGCCCAGAACTCATGATAAATTAGATAATGCCATGCATTGAAGCAAATTTGAAAAAATCGTAAAATACCATTAGACACTGTTTAATTATTTAATTAAGAATCTATATTTTTAACGTATCTCTCTTAAATTACTTTTTTTTTTGTTTTTTGTTTTTTTTTTTTTGTTTTGTTTTCTTTTGCTATTTTAAAGTCTCATACTACTTATAATTATATAAGACTATTATAAATATTAGTACGGTAATTTTATAGCTTAATTTTATACAAAAAACTTTTGCATAATAAACGAAATGAAAGAGTCAGACAAATAAAATGGAAATGTGGAGGTTGCATATCAATAGAAATTGATGGTTTCGGTAAAACGGATATAAAATACCACTAAATAGAGAAAATGGAAACAGGTGGGCAATGTATTAAAGTGAATGAAATGCTGACAAAACGCAACTACAACTCACCAAGAGCATCGATTCCCAAGCCATCCAACGTATAGGGAGCGCCGCTCGTCCTTCAATCTTAAAATAGTCGGCTAAGTAAGAGCTCCTGCCGGGTCCGAGATCCGAAACCTTAACGAAGTAGCCTTGGTTTACGAGGCAATTCCTGCAATTACATCCTTATTATTGATCCTCGCTCTATTAATTCGTGAATTTGGAAAACTATTGCAGAAGAATGAAAATCTTCGTCGAGCGAATAAAATTTTTGCCGAAGATATACGATAAATTGCAGATATTAATTATTAAATTGTTCAAAATTTGAAAGTTTACTACACCTGCAAAGTTGTCTACTAAGCATTTACGACTATCAAGCTTTTTAACAAAGTGTCAAGTTGATATAATTCAATTAAGATCCCTAAAGTAATTATGAATTTTCAGCAGCGAATTTGCTTATAAATTTTGTTTTATTTTTAAAAATGTGAATACTTATAACTTAGTTTAGAAGCAATAGGGTAATAACCTGCATTATTAACTATACTAAATTTATATTTCACGGCGGAATTTTAGAAGCATCCTTACAATTTTTATTACACTGTTGGAAAATATAGACTACAGTCATTTACAAGACAAATTTATTTCTTTTAATAGGACATTCAAACGCCACGTTAAAAATATTTATATTTTTAAAAACAGCAGAATTGATACAATTAAATAACTTATATATACGGGGTAATAATTTTACCCAGGGTGACATTTATTATGAAAGTTCTTGCAATTTTCTTTAATTAGAGACTTCGTCTCTTAGTATTGAATGTGCTGAGAAGAATAAATAAACTATAGCCAATTTATAACGAGATTTTACATTTTCTTATATTTTTAACTTATATTATTTACGTTTTACTTATTATTGTTTTACTTGATATACTTTATTATTATTATTATTATTTCTTATTGGTTTTACTTCAATTCTTATACGACTGCTACTCAAATTATTTCCTGACGCAAAGCTAAAATTACAAATTTTTTTCGTGAGAAATTTCGAAGAAAAAAAATAAATAAAGTTGCAAAATCAATTTTTTTTTAATCGTTTTATGTTTGAATATATTTCTAAATGCTCATTAGTTATCGACGTAATCCCGATGAGTCATAACTTTCTTAATTTTATATTTATTAGAATTTTATTAGAATATTTTTATAGAATATTTTAAAGCATAAATATCAATAGAATATTAATAAACAATTTCGTATTTTTTATTGAATGCGATAATCTTAAGTTCTTGCACATACCCGATTATATATTTTAATTTATAAACAATTATATAATAATATTAAAGTATTATACTTAAACAAATGAATAAATCTACATAATATCATAATTTTATGTTTTATAATACCAATAATACCAAATTAACAGTATTTATTCGTTCCAAATAGAAAAATGTGAAATTAGCCGAAAGTATCGAGCATTTCGCATTAAAATACGCAAATTAAAATTTCCTCCCAATATCAATACCCAATAGTTCATGTCGAGTACATAATTTTTATCTGATCATAATAGCAAATTAGTTAACATTTCTACAGACAAAGAAGAAGCAAAGAAGAAACACAGTAAATAAGAAAGGGAAGTTTAACAAGGCTCCATTTCCCGGTCAATTAGTCAAAACTTTTAATCGGTCGACTCAGGCGTGAAGAAGAAGAAGAGCAAAGTTCACTATTACGTCAGACAGGCTTGGCCTTTAGTCCCACGTAGAGTACGCCTGTAACGTATAGATAAGTCGAAACGCGGCATCGCTCGAACGCTTAAAAAGTTGCGGCTCTTCGGGAGCTTGCGGGGCTACATTGTTGCCACGGATCGTTGAGAGTTTCAAATTTCGATAATATTACGAAAGTTAGGCAGGGCCAGGTTGCGGTTGTCTTTTTGGAATATTATTTTGTCAGTAGTTTGGGAATAAGTAAAAAGAGGCGAGCTCGTGGGCCATTAAGTGGCATTGGTATTGATTTTGATTGATGGCTCGGTGGGGGTAGAAATTCAAATTCGATCGCACCGTGTTCTAATTTTATATCAACTCGTAGTAAGTTGCCTTCCCTTATATTCGTAGCATTATTTCTAGCTAATCGTCTACATTTCTTTCATCAACGGTATTTAATCTAATTTATTATTAATAATTGGCAATAAAATATTTATTAAATTAATTTATCTTGTACGTGATATTTATTGCTAATACATATATCAATGTTAAATTGTAATGAATATTTAATATTTAATAGTAACGCTATTATACGGATATAATGAACATTTATATCGCGCACATTAGTTAATGTTTAATAAATCTAAAAATTAAACTTATCCACAATTATAATATATGTCGTTGTAAATAAATTTTCAAATTGTTGATTAAAATATTGAATGAAATCGTCTCGTTCCTTTTATATATTTAAATATCATTTCGATTTTAGACAACTACATACGTATTTATTATTCACTGATAATAGAAATGATAAATTTAATAAACATTATTAACGGTACATCATGCACAATAATGTGTAAACATATCATTACGAGCTTTATAAATATAATTAACAATATATCATTCAAATGTCTTTGTATCTAAAGTAAAAGTTAAATAGGGAAAAAGGTAAAATTTATGTTATGGAATAATGAATCTCGAATTTTATTATTTGTAGCTCCACAATTCGAATAAGCGTCGTTATAATGAACTATACAAGTCAATGAATAGTGCGAATGCGAGTAATAGCCGCGCCACAATATTTATACTTCATTCCTCTCAAATACCTTTCTATAAATAACCTTTAATGAATTTCCGGGTTGACAGTTATGTAGCAACCCACCGGAGGGCATTATAATTAAGGTTTATGATTAGAGTTAATAATTGGTACACGTGCCTCTACTAAATGGCACCATACGCGCACGCCTCACACTAAAGTACTATTGACTATAAAACTGGCTGCAGGGCGAATGACTAAGGATCATAAAATCTCGGGCTTTCTCACTTAAAATTCTATGAATTATTAAATGCATTTTAATACTTTTTATTATTAGTAGTTTTGTCATTTTTAATTTACTGTCGCTATAATTTACATGAATTTACATTCATTTTCTAGAACCTTAACATTTCGCATTTTAACAGGTATATTAATTATAGTGACACAACAAGGCTTAAGGGGTGTCGCTCAGTCACATCAATAGTTATGTCGAAATAATATCGATTATAAAATTATGCAATCGTATATGTTAAAGGTTAGATCGTGAAAGAGTGGCGGGTGAGCGAGGGGAGGGGGGATTATGACATTCTAAATTCAGATGTACGTTACAAGTTTATTATGTTACATAAAAAAAAAAAAAAAAACCGAAGGTTTAGATTTGCGATCGGTATATAAATAATATGTATTAGAATATCAGCCTGAAACTAAATGAATGTCTTAAAGAAAATATAGTTTAGATCCGGAAATAGTGAGGGAAAACGAGTGTTGACAATTGCTGCATCTGCCTCAGCCACTTTCGCTTTACGAATCCATCTGTATCGGCACAGCTTATGCCTTCTAAGATCTTACCTCGTAGCGAGATCCCGGTGTACAAAATCCATTTCCTCAAGATACTTCATGCCGGATGCTATTTGTGTGGCCATGTATATCAGAGTGCCGAAGCTGCAACAGAGAAATCAGGCGTGACAAGCGTCGCTTACAAATGGGTCTCGGCACACACTCTGAGACACAGCAAAGGGAAAAAATAGTAGTTACCTAAGCCCGATGAAAGAAAAGTATTAAGGAGAATTCGGAAAAGGGGTAGAAATGAAAAGGAGCATAGGTGAGAAGGGGATGGATGTGAAGTCGAAGCTAATGGACCAATGTACTCGAGTCAAACAGGCTCTTGAATGTTGAATAATTAATGAAAGCTTTTGAGAGTTATTAGAAATTTGAGGAAATATATATCTTGCTTAATTATTATTCGTGAAATACATAATAGAAAATAAATTGTATTGATCTTAGTTGAACATAGTAAAGGAAAGAAAAATAATTTTTTAATAAGTGACGATGCGATCACATTATAAAAATGGTATAAAAATATTTTTAAAATATCAGAAATCTTAACCCATCTATCCAGATGTATAAGAAACCTATTACAAGTGATATGACAGGAAATGTAATATTGTTACAATTAAAACCCGAATAAATTATTTTCATAAAAATGATAATTAAATTGTTAAATAATTCGATAATGCCAAATAATTGTATAAAAGAATATAATCATAATATATTGAAAAAAAAAAAAAAGTTAAATATTGTTTATGTACTATTGCAATTAAAATCAAGTATTTAAAATAATTTATAAAAAGAAAAAAAAATTTAGAAAATTCTATAATAATAATATCGTTTACGAGGAAAATTATTGAACATTTTTAATAAACGAGTGAGCTTTAATAGTAACTAATGTGAGAGTCTTACAAAATTCATTTTTATATTTAAAAATATATTGGTATTATAGTAAATAAAAGCCTGATAAAATCTAGTAAATCCTATTATATAAAAATTTATAGTTTTAGACACCATATAGAAATTTATAATTTACGACAGAATTCTTTAAGAATCTTACATCAAACACTGTAATAATTACAGTACTTATATTTAATTATTAGATAGTCAAGTTGAAATGTTAATTTTGTTCGAAATTATCTGTTATATTCTAACTAATAATTATCTTAATAAATGTGTATAAAATCAACTGAAGTATTTATATATTAACATTATTAATAAAATTTGCCAAATAATGAAGAATAATTACTTTTATTATTTATCCGACATAGTTAATTAAAATTTGAATATTTAATTAAATTAATTAATCAATACGTTAAATACGGAATGTCAGAAGAGACAAATATTTGATAAAATGTAAAAATTGTTTAAAAGATAAAAACATTCATAAAATATTATAAAGAAGTACCTTATTTCTTTTATTATCTTATCTACAATAATAGTTTCAATTATTAATAATGATTGAGATTTTAATAATTTTACTTTATAGTAAGGAAATGATATAAAATGAAGTAGAAAGAAAAATTGAGCTTATTAAAAAAACAACCAAATCAACTTATTAAAATACATGACTGTTAGCACGAGTACTTGCTGTATATATTAGATGAAAACATTTCCTGTCTCACTTATGTTTTAGAGCTTCTTGCAGTCCACTGGATTATAAATTATATTTCATTTGTCTGAATTCGTCAGTAGGTAGTGGAGCTACTGCAATATAGCTTAAAGCAAAATCCTAACTCGACGCCTACACAATCACGAGGTTATTGATCCTAAATAATATCGTTAACTACGACACACCTGATTTTTTAATAAAATCTGTATATGCATTTGCAATTGTCAAGCATAGATTGGCACGTAAAGTTATTCCTGACTCGTGTGATTAAATTATAATTACATTTCTGTTTCCAATATATTTTAGATTAAATTATTTTCCTATTATTGTATTAATTATATTATTTTTATATTAATTATTATTATGCTACGTGTTTATATCGTTGTTGTTATCATTATCATTATCATTATCATTATCATTATCATTATTATTATTGTTGTTGTTGTTGTTGTTGTTGTTGTTGTTGTTGTTGTTGTTGTTGTTGTTGTTGTTGTTGTTGTTGTTGTTGTTGTTGTTGTTGTTGTTGTTGTTGTTGTTGTTGTTGTTGTTGTTGTTGTTGTTGTTGTTGTTGTTGTTGTTGTTGTTGTTGTTGTTGTTGTTGTTGTTGTTGTTGTTGTTGTTGTTGTTGTTGTTGTTGTTGTTGTTGTTGTTGTTGTTGTTGTTGTTGTTGTTGTTGTTGTTGTTGTTGTTGTTGTTGTTGTTGTTGTTGTTGTTGTTGTTGTTGTTGTTGTTGTTGTTGTTGTTGTTGTTGTTGTTGTTGTTGTTGTTGTTGTTGTTGTTGTTGTTGTTGTTGTTGTTGTTGTTGTTGTTGTTGTTGTTGTTGTTGTTGTTGTTGTTGTTGTTGTTGTTGTTGTTGTTGTTGTTGTTGTTGTTGTTGTTGTTGTTGTTGTTGTTGTTGTTGTTGTTGTTGTTGTTGTTGTTGTTGTTGTTGTTGTTGTTGTTGTTGTTGTTGTTGTTGTTGTTGTTGTTGTTGTTGTTGTTGTTGTTGTTGTTGTTGTTGTTGTTGTTGTTGTTGTTGTTGTTGTTGTTGTTGTTGTTGTTGTTGTTGTTGTTGTTGTTGTTGTTGTTGTTGTTGTTGTTGTTGTTGTTGTTGTTGTTGTTGTTGTTGTTGTTGTTGTTGTTGTTGTTGTTGTTGTTGTTGTTGTTGTTGTTGTTGTTGTTGTTGTTGTTGTTGTTGTTGTTGTTGTTGTTGTTGTTGTTGTTGTTGTTGTTGTTGTTGTTGTTGTTGTTGTTGTTGTTGTTGTTGTTGTTGTTGTTGTTGTTGTTGTTGTTGTTGTATTTTAACTTTTACATGAATAATCTTCTTAACTAATAAGATCGTATTTAAATGTATTTAAAAATAAGAAACTATCGATAAGTTATTTTTAAGTTCTTTTGCGCGTATTCTGATAATGTATAATTGTTTTTTTTTTATCGATAAAACTTACTCTTTATATTGCATTTGATAGATGAAAAATAATTAAAAATAATTTATTTTCCCTCGCTATTGTTCTGCTTATTTAAAAATAAATGTTGCAATAAAATATATTTTTACTTTGTTGATCTAGGCACTCTTACAGAATCAATTTTATAGTACCAATTTTATTCATTAAAAACAAATATGTGTTATAAAAAATTATACCATATTCATAAAATTGGAAGAAAAACATTATAATGTACATGTAGGTTATTAGATTTATTTGGAAAAAGTTTAGAAAAAAATTTATTGTATTGTATTGTATTAATTTTATTGTATTTTTTCGCAATGTACATTCAGATATTTAGGCAATTATTCATTTTTATGCAAACTGCTCAACTATTTTACATGTATTTTATTGTTAGTTTAGAAATAAAAAGAAAAAAATATTGATCAAAAAGTTGAAACTAATGAGGGTGAAATATAGTTTTTGCCTGATTGAACAGCATATTGTATTGTAAGACATTCTCAAAGTTGCGATACACATTGTATTAAGTTATGAGGCTATCGTTTTATTTAATAAATAATATTGTGTATAGGAAACAATGATTTTAAAATCATACATTATAATCATAATATACTATTAGTGGATCTATTTTCAATCATGAACGTGATATTATATATATTTATTATCCGCATATGAGATCACTACTTCTTCAATCTCTCGTTACAATGTATCAAATAACGTAAATATCCGATTCATTCAAGGCTTATCGGCCTTCTCATATTTATTTCTAATTTCTAACTTTTAACTCAAAATTAATATATATATATATATATATATATATATAAAGTCTATAGTAAGATTCCTAGAAATTGACAATAATGTCAAGCAAAATGCACGTATAATCCAGAAATATGACTGAATTTCTGATGAAAAGTACATTTCACTTCAAAATATGAATTTGAACTAAGATGTAAAATAATTATCAAGTTATTGACAATATTTGTCGAATGATATTCTAATCCTATTTAAAAGTAGGTTAACTATTATTAGCATTAATCGATTGTCGATGTACAAGAAATGTAAAATGTTTTTTTTTTTTTTTAAATATTTGCTAGTTATCTGTACTTAATTTGTTCTTTCTAATATAAACAATAAAATATTGGAAATAATTAAATTTCTAAAATAATTTTGCATTTAATAAACATAATTGTATTTATTGAATTATTAAGTTTCATTTGATTTGATGACTTATGATAATTCTTTACAATCGTATATTACAGATAAATATTGTCAGTTTAAATAGTCCAGATGAAAACTAGAGAAAAAGAAGAAGAAAATATTTGTTCTATTCCGTTTAATAGATATATTTAATAGGAAAATCTAAATTAATAAAACAATAATTATTGTAGAATAAATACAGACGGCTAATTTTTAAACCAATTTATGTAATCAGTTATGAGTTTTGAAAAAAAGAAAAATAATTTCTATATAAGTTTATGAATTGACATTGAATTCATATTTTAACAGTAGATTTAGGTTATTTATACAAAATTGGAAACGATAAACTAGAAAAGTATTTGATATAAATATTAATATCTAACTACAAAATATTCGACAATAAACGTCGAACCTCAAAATTACTAGCCATTAATGCATTTAGATAAATTTAAGCTTAAGATAACATTTACATGAAAGTATATGGATGTCGTTATAAGTCACTCTACACCAGATAAAACAGATCAATATGAAATATTATGGAGCCTGCAGTAAGTCTCATCGATTTTATTAAATTTTTTTAATCTAAGTGAAAATTTTGTTTCTACAAATTTCAATTTTATTGTAAATAATAATTTTCAATAAATTTGTGGACTATGCCTATAATTTAAAATACAATTCTAATTAATTCGTTTATAAGTTTGATGCCTGTGCAATATACCGACTTGATCTTTACAATTTTTCATTTCACAAGCAATTTTTAATAATTTTAAGATATATACTTGAAAATTTATATAATTAGTTGAATGATATATGATGAAAAATTGTTAATTTTTAATATCATTACTTTTTCATTTTATGAGACTCAAGCATATCACATTCATATATACAAAAATATATGACCAAATAAAATTTATCATAAATAATAACAATAAACAATTTTAATCTTCAATTTTATAATAAAGTTAATTTTGATGTACATGTTCTGCGAAATATAATTTTAAGCAGTGTAACTGGCAGTTAAGTGTGTAATTATTTACTCGAGACACTGAGATGGAATCGATTTCTCCTTTGGAATTCTTAATGTTCGCTCTTAAGGACCTGTAGTCGACTATTCAAGTTTGAGTAAAGTTTTTTTCGAAGGATTCTCTTGCAAATACGCTTTAACACGATTATACGCTCCAACAAGATAAATAAAAATGTCTTTAATATCTTTTTAATCCGTTATCTTAACATACCTTAAGGTTTTCGCCGTTTGCACAGTGGATGTCTCAGCCACGTGACTTTGCAGGTACTGATTTAAATCTCCACATTCGCCATTTTCTAAGACGATGCACATTGGATCATCATCGAGACTGGCACCAAGTAATCGCACGATATTTCGATCATTAAGTTGCGCCAATCTCTTTGCTTCTTCTCTAAATTCTAGCCTGCAAACGAAATATTAACAGCAACATTTACTTACGTCCTTTCCTTCGTTTATATTGCAGTCGGCCAACTTCCGTTATATAACTCTTTCATTTATCAATTCAACAAATCAATGAATATATGACGAATGATAATAACCACTTGAATTAATTATTAAAAATTAAATCGTCTGTCGGTTAAAGTAGCATAAATGATTTATTCAATTTAGATTTTTTTTTTTTTTTTTTTTTTTTTTTTTTTTTTATGGAATTCTTTTGACATATCACATTATTATTATTATTATTATATATAAAATGTATTTATATAGCTTCAGTATGCAATAATATAATAATCAATAGTATAATGAAAAGTACAGAAGTTAGAAGGTGCGACTTTTCTTGGGAAAAGTAGCAGTTGTTGAATTAAGAGTGTTCACGAGTAAAGTGAATTTAAAGCGATTGTGGATAAAGGTGAAAACTTTCTTCGCAAAACAAAACTGCTGTTACGTTTAGTTCGGTGGATGTGAAGTGTAAACAACACTCGATTTCTAAAAGAAAGGGTGAGTGACGCAAAAAGTTTTACCCATGTAAACCGAAAGAGTAGTTCGTTATTGGAAAGACAATTTTATAGTCAAGATATATATGAGAGACTTTTTGAGAGAAAATTGTTACTTACATGAACATAATTCAAAATCTGAATTGAAATACTACTTTAAAGTGCGTTAATATGTAGTAATACAAAGTTAACTAAAAAATAAATCAATATTTCCGTTAAAATGAATTTATTATTCCTTGTGGAAGTTTTTTTTACTATTAACGTAATTTTTCGTAAGAGTAAGAGACATTTTCAAGAGTACTTTTTTTAATATTGTATTTGAATTACATATGAAATTGTTAATTGTATGAGCTAAATATACGATTTCGATGCTTTAGCAAATTTTATTAAACGGCAATATTTAATAAAATATGACTTTCGGAGATTATTGATATTGTATAAGAGGCTAAAACATTTAACTCGTGTTAAAAATCTAATAGACGTCGACGCTAGAAATGGTAGTGGAAAATGACTTACTCAAAGCACACGTGACTTACTACATTGGCAATGTCTATTAGAATTTGCGAATAATAAAATAGAGGGAATGAATAATCCATGATTAGGTAAAATGTGTCCTCCTTGTATGAATCTTGGAAATGTGGTTAAAGAGACCTGAGAATGTCGGAGGAGCCCGGCCTGAGCGATTTGACGACGACGAGGTCACTACTGGTGCTACGAAAAACCTCTTCGTAGCCCGGGAAGCGATCGACCTCGCAAACGTGCACGTCTCCGAAGTAGCCGCAACCGAAGCTCTCGGCAATGTTTAGCCTCTCTCGCGGAAAGTCAAAGATGACGCAGTCGACGGTCGCCGGGGCCGTCTGATCCTCCTCCTCCGTCAGCATGTCCTCGGGACTGTAGCTGTTTAGACTACTGGAGGCTTTGCCGCTGTGGGGTGGTGGTGTGCAGCTGAGGTTCGGCGATGGCGGAAGTGGCGGCAGTCCCGGACTCTGCAAAGACTCGTGTGAATGTGGATTGTGGAAGGTCACGAGTACGCGCTTATGCTTCGGGTGGAATAAAACAAGGATTCCTCGCATATATATATATATATATATATAAGCCGAGTGATTTACGTTGTAATGGAGTGGGCCTGTGTAATGCGATAGCGAATGCCATTGTAAGATTAAAATATATAGCGAACATCGAGTGGAGTGGAGTGTGGCCTTTTGTATGTTATGAATCATGTACTTCAAGCCGCGAAGCTTAGAAAATGAAAACAACATCTTAAAGTATATCCACTCCTCTCATTATCATTGTAATTTTTGTCTGTCTTTTTGCATTCGACTGACCCGTAAAATTAATTTCCAGGTACTGCAAGTCGCTCGCTATTATGTTCTTTTGAACAATTAGACTAGATTTTGGAAAAAAGGTGCGTGAGAATGAATAAGCACTTTGTCATTGATGAATATTAAGAGAAGTAGTAGACTCGAGCATAATTTTAACTATTGATTATCTAATGACTGAATAGTTATTTAATGGTTATCTAAAGATATGCGTGGGGGGGGGCAGAGAGGAGTTAGAGAGTGTGGATCTTTCTGATCTTGATCTTACCTTACAGATCTCCGTACTGGCGTAGTACTTTTGCGGTGGTGGTGGAATTGGTGGTGCACTAGATGGATATTCCTGTACCGATGGAATAGGTCGGCTCAGATTAATCGGCGTGTTCAGCAAAAGTGGCATAACTGGACGTTCTTCCGAAGCCCCTAGGAAAGACAAAGAGGAAGTGTGAGATATCGAATAATGCATTTTTTTTCTTCTATTTTATGCAATGAACTTGTTCACCTTTCCATTTAAATTTCATTTCAAATACTCGCGTCAACTTACTATGAAAAATAACTTTGTTCTGCTTAATGTAGACTATATGTTTCATAAATATATTGTATATAATTATAATGTTACTTAATAAACTTTCATAGTTTGATGTAAATCTTAGAATATAGATTTAAGTATTATTGAAAGTGTGAAAAATGTAAGTAAATTGAAAAATTTTTTAATTATTTATTTGCAAAATTGAAAGTTAGCCTGCTTGAAATACAGTATAATTGTATCTTGCGATATAAATTCTTGACTTTGTGCATGAAACAAAGTTTCTGTTCACATTTTCATCGTATTCAACGCGCACACTAGTAACATAATTATGTACTTATCCAATTGATAGTAGAAAAAAAATTTAAGTTTATTATTAGAACTACTTCAACTTTATCTCAATAAACCTACTAGAAAGTACAATCGGTTGGACGTCGTAGTTAGATATGTAAACTCTAGTTACGACTGCTTAACCAAAACTGAAGTGAAAACGAACGTGCGAGAAAGAGAGAGGAGAGAGGTGTATTTAATTAAATAATTCTCGGACTATCATGTGTAAGACATTGTGCAAGGGATTTATATTTAAAGCCACCAACCGGTAGGAAAAAAAGATAAAGTTGATGAGAGAGTCAGAGAGGCAGACGAGTAGAAAGAGAGAGAGAGAGAGAGAGAGAGAGAGAGAGAGCGAGAATGAGAGAGGGAGAGAATAGAGGCAGAGAAGAAAAGATCGCGAAAGTGAACTCAATTCCAACAAGCAGACGGCAAACTTATTCGTTAGTTTCTCTCGCGCCCTTCGTTGAACAGAGGAAACTATCCTCCGAACCACGAGAGTCGTCTATCCAGTGGACTATATCCAAGGGGTGACGGTTGTTTCTCTCTCAGTACCTACATTCTAGTAGCACCCGTAAACCCTTTCAGACCTTCGGCTACATTTACTTTCAGTCCAAATTTCTCTTCTGAGACTGATCAATATTTCACTCAAAATCTTTTTCTTCGTTCTTAGCTAAATTTTAGCTCAACTACCCCTCGGTTAAAACAAATACACGCATTGCATCATTTCAACCCCCCCCCCTCCCGACCCTCTCCCTCTCTTACCAATTTACATTTTTATTCTCGTAATTTAAAATTTTAAGATAATCACGTGGAATATTCCTCTGTGCCCCTGAGTCTGTGTATACTTTAGAAATATAAAAAACTAACTTTGAAAATTTAGTAAGAATTTTATTATTATTCTGCTAGTTATTACGTGGGGATGTAAAGAACTTTCGTCAGATCAGAAACAGATTTTAGCTAAAAATTTTTTGAAATGATTAAGTAAGGATGAAAATACTTTTTAATTACTTATGATTGTACTCATTATTTTATGATAAAATGTATTGATGGAGTTTCTAAAGAAGAAGAACAAGTATTTTTGCAAAAATTCATGTTCTAAAAAAAGATTCTACCAAGTACGCTGAGGATTATAAAAAGAAAAATTTTCTTCGAACTTATTTAACATAAATTAGATTGTTAAACTACAATTAAGAGTTCTCATTAGTAATTTTTAAAATCTGATATCACAACTTTCATTTTATATCGTAAATTAACATAAATGCAAGATGCATATAATCTCTACTTTCTAATGCATATATATTTGATGGATTTTGTTTATTTGATGGAATTATATCTAATCAAATATAAATCTTACATATTGTAATTTTTATTTTAAATGAAATAAAATTGCACGCAAAGCTTCATTTTCCATTTGTCAATGTTTAGTATTAAGAATATATAAAAAAAATTACTATTGAATAAAAAATTAGCAATATTTGATAAGATATAGATAAAACATTTTTGAAGTTTTAAATATTGTGATGATGCTCTCGTTATTGAAAACCCTGATGCCGCGATAACTTCTAGTTCGTAGTAAGATGGATATAGAATGAGAGGATGAAATTGTTCACGTTGGCGACAGAATACTCGTGATCAGAAAATAGGAAGGAAAGGAAGGAAGAAAAGGAGACTTTGCAAGCAAGTGGAACGACAGTCTCCCGAGTACGAAGGTGCAGCTTATTTGGATTGCCTCGCTGATAGAGAGAGAGATAGAGAGATAGCTAGATAGATAAATAGATAGAGAGAAAGAGAGAGAGAGAGAGAGAGAGAGAGAGTGAGACGCAGAGATGGTCTCTGTCGTTGCTATTACTAGTCTGAAGCTTCGGATAGGTTCAGCAACGCTGCCAGGATGGATGCTCAGAAGCTCAGGACGTGGAACTTCCGGGAGATACATGGATTGCATTTTCGACCTTTCTCGGGGAAGTATATGCAACCATGGCTCATGAGTCATAAATTTGAGTTTGCTGATTACGAAAGCGGCATCTAGTATGTGTGTGGTATTCAAACTGATTTCGCAGGATGCGTAGCGAAATTCATGGAGCTCCTACCGTACAGAAGTTATACTGACGTTTAATCTTTTTTACTTTGTACATTTTTTACTGCTCTGTACATTTTTACATATCCATATACAGTGAATTAAGTATATAAATACAACGACTATTAAATGACTTTCATATATTTCAGATAAAGAGAGAAATGTAATAGCGTAAAATTGATATAATATAAATATTTGATTAATAATGGATTAACAAGACATTTTAATGGTTGATAATTGTAATTCTGATTACGACATTTTTATAAATCTACAAAAATTAGATATATTGTTATTTAGTATATTTAAATAATTGTCAAATTATCAATATCACTTAAAAAAAAAGAAAGATTATAAATTGAAAGATAACATTATTTTATGTAATAAATAACTCATTAAATCGAATAAATTTTAATGTGCATAATGTATTATAATGAATTTCTTTGTAGTAGAATTAAATAAGATTTAAATTAGAAAAAAAAAAAATAATAATGTAATAATAATAATGTTTGATAAGAAAAATTATTTATAAAATCAATATTTATTCTAAAATAAAATAAAATAAAATAAAAAAAAAAAGACTAGTCATATCGAATAATTATTTTTGTAAAATTTTTATAACTTATTAAAAGAAAAACATTTTTATTATATATGTTGTATGTACTGAAGGAATTAATATAAATGGAATATGGAGTATATAATGAAATTATAAATTATTTATATTATAAAACCTTGGATATTCCGATTCATGATTTATCTGTGAAATCTCTTTGATTTTTACATCATCTGCCATGTATACCCGAACCTTTTAAATTACAAATGAGAAATATTAAAAATAATTGAAGGAAATGAATAATTTAACAAATTTATACTTCTTATAACAAAGAATATAAGAAATCACATATATTATTAATAATAAAGACAGTGGTCAAATAATATATAATGCAAGTATTAATAAATATATTATTGAAATTCAGAATATAAATACAAATTTATAAATTAATATTTTAAATTTTATAACTGCTGACATGGACTCGATAGCTAGAAGCATTTTCAATATTTGTCTAAATTAATTTTCATCACATACGAGACACTGAAAACTATCGATCATATGCTTATTTGTTGATTAACTAAAAGTATTATAATATAGAAAATAAATGTTTAATACCTGATTACACGCGGATAAATGTTTTTCCTATGAATTCAAGAGGTGTGGCAAAACTACGGGAACGCATGTAAATACAAATATAAAATAGCAAAACTATAATTTGAATCGTAAAACAAATAACAACGATAGCAGGATAAACTGGATCTACTAATTCGATAGATCCGTGTCGTCAGTCGATCTGCGCTAAAGGACAACAGCGATAAATTTGTAAGACGAGCCGCTGATGACCTTTGTAAAGCGTTAAAACTCTAACGAGATTGTTTATGATTACGAGGTAGAGGACGGTGGAGCAAAGGAGGACCCCAGTTGAGCTTCTCCGGGCTTCCTCTGTACTCTGCACATCGCGAGCTCAGCCTAAGTGCCATCGTTCTCGGGCACAATGAGGTGGCATCTACGCTCGAAGTAAATATACCAAGGGGTGAAGCTCTCAGCTTCCGGAGAACCTACGCCTCCCACTCCTCCTCCCGCCCTTCACTTGCGCATCAGCTGGCTTTTCATTAATGCTTTTGAAAGTAGCGGTATCCTGTTGAAGCGCTATATTTTATTATCTGCCCCTCTACTCTGCCGTAGCTTCGTTGCCAACGCCTGACTTTACTACGATCTCGAAAAATAATGCACTGCTCACTACATTACATTTGTATGTACACACGAGTGAGCCTTTTCCCCTACAGATTTGTACGTATAAAGGGGGTTTGACATTGTGTGGATACGCGCGCGTAGATGAAAAAAGAGACACTGAGAGACACTGAGAGAGAGAGAGAGAGAGAGAGAGAGAGAGAGAGAGAGAGAGACGGGCGGACATACGTGCTGTAGGTTGGTGAGATTTTGTTTACGCGCGCACTTGTGGATATGCGTTGGGGCAACTATACTTTCATTCCCAAGTATATTTACGTCATAAGCACGTGTACTCGCGCGCATACATATACATATACATATATATATATATATATATATATATATATATACACGTATGCGTATATCTATGTGCATACGTATACATATGTTTATATGTATTAAATGTATATACATGTGCGTAGATAGGTAGATAGATAAATGGTCACATGTGTATATAAACAATGTATGTATGCACACATGGGCGCATTTGTAAATATAGATATAGGGATATGCGCATGCGTGCATGCATACTTACCGGCGTAGTTGGAAGTTGTTTTGTGTACTTGCGGAATAGTCGTTGTCGTATTGGGTGTTGCTGCTGCTGCTGCTGATGCTGCGGCTACGGCGGCATAAGCGGTCGGGTGGTACTGCAGCGGAAGTGGGGGACAAATTGGTCCCTTGTCTGCGAGACCGCCGCCACTATCCTCCACCGAGACCTGCCAAATATGTGTTATCATTAATGCATGTGATGTTTACGTGCATGATCAAAACGAACGTGCCTTCGTACTATCTACTTCTCTTTCTCTACGAATTATTTTTCATCTTCCCTTCACCCTGACTAGTTCATTTACCAATCCACTAAACCTTTCTTCCTCTTCCACCCCCCTCCGCTCCAATCACTCGTCCTACATCTCAATTTCTTTCCCCGTCGCCATTTCCCTCTATCGCCCTTTCATTCACTTTAATCATTTACTTTAATTATTTACCCGTCTGCATATTAAATTTTTATTTATGTGTGTGTGTGTGCGCGCGCGTGTATGTGTGTGTGTGTGTGTGTGTGTGTGTGTGTTTTTGTATGCGCGTGCGCGCGTGTTTATCAATATGTACTTTTTCAAGTATTATTAATTAAAATAGTGTGTTAAATAAAGAATGAGCTTATATACTAAATATAGAGGTTTATTCGCATTATTTCTAACGAACAATCAATAATAATCGATGAATATAGATTTCCATTAATTCCATTAAGAATTGGTATTTAGGAGAGTATTTATGAAACATTAAATTTGAATATAGATTTACTATAAACAAGGGTAGATTACAAATCTTTCGCCTTCATCACTTTGTAATACAAAGTTCGTCAAAAACAACACGAATGTTCTTATTGTATTACGAAATTTTAAATATTTTTTGCTTGTATTATTCAATGGTTATCTAGCGTAATGCAGGAAAGATCAATCATTTTATTGCTGGGCTGCTTATCCGTAGGTAAAAGTTATCCGCAATTTCACGAGCCAAAAGCTTAAGTTTCCTTAATTGCCCCTTTATAACTACCGCTCTCCCTTTTTCAAAATCCGATTAAGTATTTTTATGATTTTTTTCAGATAATACGGATCCCATAATAATAAAGAACTTCGTTGCGGTATTTATAATTCAAAACAATGATACTTTATTATCTATTTTTAAACACACATTTGTTTAAATACTATCACAGTCTTCGAAAAGTTTTATTATTAATGGAGGCATAAGATTTTAAGGATTCAATTTAAATTTATCGGAGCATTGAAATTCGGCAACTGCGTGAAAAAACATATTCGGTATAATTGACCGCCACTACTAACTAAATTGATCTGAAATGACAATATCTGTTCTTGTCTCATACTACTGTTGCTTTAACGGCAGCATGCAGAAAACCATAATGTAGCTTTCATTGAGGAAGTGCTTAAACCGAGACATCGCGCCCCTTATCTAGAGGACACTTTAATGTCTTATCATCTTCGCGGTAGCCTTTTTCCTGAAAATCCGCGAGGACTCGGAGAAATTATCGGTTTTATAACGAACAATATTCACGCTCCGGAAATAGCGCACTTCATGTTTTGTACGCGAGAAGACGATAAAAACGTAAATTGAGCAAAGTTGTCGCTTAAAGTCTTTTTACGCCTCACTTAAAAAAGTAATGCATTCGGGAATTGAAATACATACGGCGTTTTCTTATTGTATTTATTGCACTCGTATATTAAGAAATTATTAGAAAATTCTTAGTCATTTATAAAATTATAAAAATTATGCCGATGAGGTGAATGCTTTACCCTTTATAAACGCCTTAATTTTTGCTGCTAATACAACCACTAAATACTAATTAATATTATTTTTATCCGTTTTATTAAAAGCTTTCAACAAAAATTGCTTCCGTTCTCGAAAAATCTAGACCTATTTACACTCCTTATGTCATGAATTTTCTTTATTGAAAAACTAATCGATATTATAATTATTATAACCATACATTTCAGGTCTTTCATTAGTAAAACTATAATTCGCAAAAATTCAATGAACTTCTTCGCTTTCAACATCGTACATATTGAAATATTTAATGATTTTTTAAATAAAATAAAATTTATAAGAATTACGTACGTGCGTTCTAAATAATCATTCTCGAAAAAATATTACTGTATAATTTATAAAAATTGCCTTTTAATTAAAAAAATAATTTATACGATAATGCATTCATGTTTAAAATTCAATTTATTATTATAAGAACTTATAAAACGAACGAATTTTACTCTGAATATATAATTTTAATGTAAATTTTAATGTAAATATAATATTTCTTATTATAAATTATCAATAAAATAAAATTTAATTTCAATCTAATTCAATATTATATTTTTATTAACTTATCTCGATTCGATATCCTAATTCCTAATCATACACGTATTGAAAATTCTTATTAAATTAATACGATATTAATTAATAAAAGGATGTGAATACAATAAATAAAAATTTTTTATACATTTAGCTGATTATCTAATTAATTAATTATGAGGGTATTAGTATTAATTGAGTGACGTTAAGTCGTAACATAAGCATTCGTCCGTAAAAATGAATTGCATTTGTAGTAGTAACGTAAGAAATAAATTCATAATTATAATAACAAGATTGATCAATGATAGAGGGCAGATTATATTTTACATTTAAAAAAATTAATTTATGTGGTTGATTGAATAATCTGATCGAATTGTTATTATAACAAATGTTATCACGAAACTATAATTATTGTATAACAAAATGTTATTTGTACACTTTAAATAGCTAACAATAATCAGTATATTTTATCTAATTATTACTTATTCCTATTTAGTAAATAACAAACCACTACATCGAACGAATAGATTATGGGTAAAAAGGAGTGAAAATCTAACTTTAATATCCATTAGCTTTACATCTCCGATCTCTGTACGAGTAAAGAACATGATCCAGCAAGTGTTAATTTTCGTTTAACGGGGCGGCGGGGCGGCGGGGGGGGAGGTGCGGTGTGGCGACTTCTCATACTACGTTTCTTTTTTTTATTCTAGTTGTCTTTATCCGAGTCTATAATCGACCTTTCTGTACATTATTTGCCGAATATTTAGCCCAATAGCGTGCAAAGTAGCTACGTCTATTCAAGATAAGACAACGATGTAGCCATCAGAATTCAACATGACTATCTTATCATTCAACGATTCCACCGGCAATGGATGAAAATCTCGTCTCTCTCGTCTCTCTCGTCTCACTCTCTCTCTCTCTCTCTCTCTCTCTCTCTCTCTCTTCCTCACTCTCGCTTTCCTCCTTTCCATTCTCTTTTTATACCTACTTTTGTAGCTTAATGCATTCCCTTCGGGTGCCATTAAAAACTATGCTTTTTTTCATATCTATCCTTGTTCCATTTAAGTACAGTCGATATCAAGTACATACACATATTTTCTTTTTGATAACAACTCACAATAGTAATTGTTTATACGAGTAATAAATGTATTAATGAAAACAATACGTATAATATATTCATTGCAATAAGTTGGAATAAGAAATTAGGTAATATTGAAAAATTCTTATTTATTTATTTGGATTCTCGTACTTTTTATTTAAAATTATTTAACAATGCTTGTATTAATATAAATTTAGATGTAATTCAAATATTTTATATCCACTATTACAATTTTCTGTATTCACTCATTCAGTTTTATCAAATTTTATATTTATATTTATAGATTAATTTATTCATTGCAATATTTCAATATAAATGATTTTACATTTTTACATTTATTAAATGTTTACGATACTTGAGATATTTGAAAGATCCTATTTGTTATATTTATTGTACACTATTTATTTTTTGTTTTTTCTTTATCTTTAAGATATACCAACATGAATATATAAAGTTTATTTATAATCCCCCCCCCCACAAAAAAAACTCAGATTCGCCAAAAATATGAAAGTTTTTATGCGAATTGTATGCTGTCTTCTAAGAATAAATAAAAATGCAACAACAAAATTGGAAGCGAGATTAGTTGTATATACATTATACAGACTAGAATGTAAGAAGAATATTGAAGCTGAAACTTCGTATTTCTAATTACGTGGTTCGGTATAGTGCACCGATGCTTTTGGCACGAGCTTTTACATGATAAGACGTAACGGATATTCAATTCACATCGTCGCGTCACTCAAGAGAGGACGTTACATATTCAAAGGGTACTTTTCGGTTCCCGGGACAAGCAAGAACTCGAAATTTCCATAATGCATCTCTCTTCCTCTCGCTATCTCAATATTTTGTTAAACGCATAGAATTTACGTCTAGACTTCTCTATGTTTTCTTTGAAGAGCAAAATATAATAAATTACTAAATGTAATAAAATAAAATGTGTATTACAATACATTAAAATAATGTATTAAAATAAAAAAATGGATTATGGATATAATACATTATTTCATAAAGTTTTGATTCACGACATGTTAAGTTTTACCATTTGCACGTGCGATTTTTTAATTTTTTTCGTGCCTCCATACACTTTCATCAAATAACTAAGCGTGTAAATCTAGAAGTGTAAATCTAAATCTAGATCTAAATCTTTGACACTTTGACACTTTCCTAACAATGAAAGACAAAGTGTGATATATAGATAAATCCGAAATAAAGAGAAAATATAAGGGTCAAACGGATAAATTTATTATATTGTTAAATAAATGAAAGGTCAATTTTTTTCATGTCCAAAGGAACAAAGTGTTTTCCTTACCTCGTGATTATTTTCTATTTTAAATTTTCGTCTCTAGTAAATTAATGAATATTTCTTATATTTTATGCTTTAATTAACTCGAAGTGCAGCCATTCCTATAATTAAATCATATTATATATATATATATATATAATTGAATCATGTTAGTTAATTAAAACAATACAGCAGTTTGAACTTTATCATAGGCATAAGTCTCATTATAAAATTTAATGTTTTATGAAATTATTGATTACATGAGTTTTCTTACATAACACAAATATACATCGATATAACTAATAAATAATAGCAAATAAAATATTATTAATAAAATTTGATTGCAACAAAATTAAAGAATTTCCTTTGAAAGTATTTTTCTGCGACAATTCAATTAATTTTCAATATAGTCAAATAAGCAATTTAACTTATTCTCGTTAGAAGTATTAATTATTATTTGACTCAATTTAATTGAA